CTGGGCCTCAGGGATGCAAAATCACAGCCCTGCGGGGAGGCAGAGAAGCACCGAGGCTGATATCTGAATAAACACGAACAAAGCGAGACGGAGGCACTGCCAGAACAGCCCCCACTCGGCCCGCGCGCGTCACCTCTCCGATTACTGCGTGGCGGCTGACAGGCTCCCGGCCCACCTCTGCCCCGCCCCGGCCTAGTTGCCCTCTCGCGGTTAACCCTTGCGGGCCCGTTTCCTGGAACGGCTGCCCAGCGCCTCCAGCGCGGAAGGAAGGACGCGGGCCCTCCGCCTTCCCCGCGTCCTGAGTGGGCGCCAGGCGTCGGGAACTGACCGTGGTGCTGAGCGCGCAGCTCGCTATCGGGCGCGGCTCCCAGACCTGCCAAGACCGCATACCGCGACACTCCCGGCCTCAGCGGTAAGTCGCCAAAGCCCCGAGGATGTAGGCGTGTGTGGAGTGGGGGAAGGGAGTGATTGGGAAATTTTTGTGCGATTTTCGTGCAATGGGCGGGCTGAGTGGAGGAACCAGTGTCTGCACTCTGTCCACTCCCTGGTGCCCAGCGAAGATGATATGGTGTCCGGGAGCGATGATCTGTCTGAGCTAGGGAAGGGGGAAACCTTCTCGAGGATGGGGTCTTGGGAAAGGACGAGTAAGACTGGAGGCCCATCTTCTCTCCACTGGGCAGGCCAGGAATATCCAGACACTCCCTTATAAAAAGTGGACCAGGACCTTCGGTCTCCAAAGGTCCCTTTGTCTCCCCAACATGAGGGTTGAGTGAATTGGTAATGTTTAAAACAGTGCAGATTCTGTTTCTGCTTTATCCCCAATCTCACACCCACCCCAGAACAGAGACTGTCCCTCCCCACAGTGACCTTCATTCCATCCATATGGAAGGTTTTGGCTTCGACAAGGTAGCCTATTACAGAGATAAACTACTGCTCCATACATACCTTCTCCACCCCAGTGTCCAAGATGTACCTGGGTGGGGCTCCCCTCAGAAGCCCCTACTCTTATCACCACTCACCCCTTTGTGTTTCATGTTTGTCATTTCCTGGATATTGGGGGGTGGGGCAGGGGAAATCAGGGTAAATACCAAAACTATTAGCCAAATTTTTTGTATTTCTAAACTGTTTCTGTTACATACGTGTAACTCTAATGTTTTTATCTTGCTCCATGAAATACCCAATCATTTTTATGTTCAAAAATGAAAGAAAAGCATAGAATTACCTTACCAAAAAGAAAAGAAAATTCCAGGCAGTTCAGCTAGTTAGTCATAATGTAGAAAAGCAGCAAATGAAATTACTTCATTTTCTCAATTTGCAACAAGTTCACATGCATGTGCATGCTCTGTGTAAGATGCTTCAAGGGGAAGCTTTCACATATGGGAAGTCTCTGCCACCACTTTCTTTCCACTGGACCCTCCTCTGGCTCCTAACTGACCTCTCTGCCCTTTTGCCTTTACTTTACATTCTTATTCACAACTAGAGTGATCTGTTAAAACTAAAAATTGGTCTTATTGGCTGCCAAATAATGGGAGAGTATCTATCAGGTTCTCCCCTAAGAGGGTGTTTAGCCACAGGATAACAAAGCAGAATGTTCATTTTTAAAACTGAGAACCTGGAGCATATGGCCTCTGCCCTCAGGAAATGAGAGTGCCAGCACCTGGGTGTCTAGATAAATCCTACTTTGCCCCTGAGAATTATCAAGAAAGATGACTGCTCAGCCTGACTCCAGTTGGGTAGTGGATCTTCTGACCATTTAGGGAGCTCCCACCCATGTCACATATGGACTGCAGATTTCCAAAGAGTCAGGATCTGGTAAAGTATCTTAACATGGAAACTGAATGGACTGAACACACACTGAACTTCAGTGAAATAATCTTTATCATGCCTGATTGAAGTTATTTTCCAGAGTACAGTAAGAAAAAGATTTTTCTAAAACATAAGAAAGGTAACTGCATAATTATAATATCGCCAAAATTTCTTGCCATAGAAATTATACTACCTTCAGTTACAATTTTTCTAAGTTTGCGTGAGCCATACTTTTGCTTTTAGTCTCCATTTTCATTTTACTTTTCAAATTTTATTACAAAACATATTTATTATTCAATTTTTAGATTTCCCATGAAGGGGAAATTGAGTTGTTGGTTCAAAGAATTACTATCACAGTTAAGAACACAGGTTTAGTATCAGACAGCCTTGGGTTCAGATCCTAGCTCTGTTGCCACCTGTGTGAGGGCCAATCCATTGACTTTTCTGGACGTTAAATTCTCCTTTGTTAAATGGGGTTACAGCAGTATGTCCCTTATAAGCTTATGGGACAAGCATTCTTCCTGGTTACCACTATGCTGTGTGCCCCAAAACCCATCAGGGCTGGGCTACAAAGGACTGGGAGAAGTAAGAATGGGGTCTGCAGGTTCAGGTTGGGAAAGGCTTGGGCACATGCTACATGCTACTCAATAGGAGGCAGAAAGGCAGCTGACCCACTGTCCAGGGTGCTGCTACCAAGAACTGGGCTATAGCCAGAGCAAAGCCTGGGTTCTGCAACTTTCCCTTGCGTGGTGCCTGCTCTTTCTGCTCTCCTCTGGTCAAAGCCTCAGGTGTTCCTCTACTGGGGAGGAAGCATTGCTAAGGGGTGGGAATGGGATGGAGGTAGTGACATTTGCCCCTGTGAGCCTCTGCAGTGCCACCTTTGCCACCTCTTCTCATCCTCTTTGGTTTTAATGTTGCTAGTTGGGCTGGGAGGCAGCCCCTCCACCCACCTCCCAGACCTCATGTCAAAGCATTTCTGAGACTCTCTGGAGGGGGCTGGTAAGCCTCTTTGGCAGTGGGTGTGAAAGGCATGCATACTGACAGTCACTTGCTTGCACACCTGCTCTAGTCCTTCCTTACAAGTTGTGGACTAAGGGAGAGTGAATCTAGGTGTTCCCTATGGAGAACCAAATAAATCAACCCAAACTCTATAATCTCTCCCTGGTAAAACTGCCAGAAGACCAGCTGGCAGTCCCTCACTGCCAAGGACATGTGGAGACAGTGAGACAGATGGAGCCTGAGAGCTGGATACCTGTGAGGTCCAGCAAGCCAGGATGGAGGGACTGGTTTTAAGGGAGTGCTCTTAAACCCTGCCTTATTTTAGTGTTTTGTTTTTTCTAAGAGTTACATTTTATTCAGTGGGAATTTTTAGGACTTCAAGCCCAGGAGGCAGCATCTCAAGTAACCATTAGAGAACTGCTCCAAGGAATTGAGGTTATATAGAGGTTTTGCAGGTTATATAGGTTAATATATATATAAACAGATTATATATATAAACAGGTTATATAGAGGATTTGCAACACGGGGCAGGTGGTATTAATGTCAAATGATTATTGTTAATTAAAGAAAACCAGATATCCCAAGTTAAGGAGTTTAGTGCTTTTCTATATATGGGAAGATACAAGAGTCTGGAAGATACAAGATACAATACAATGAAATCATTCCTTTGATATGCACCTCAACTATCTGGGGCCTGTATCCTGTGTTTTCACATCCTGACTGATGACTGTGACATCCTTTGATTGCTGACACAGCACTGCCTTCTTTTCATGTGTTCTAATGGGTTTCCAAACTCACACAAAGGTAATACATTTAAGCTAGACCACTGCTTCTCACCCTCAAACCAGCTCTTAGCACAGGTCACTTCCTTCCCTTCATTCACCTCTCATCCTCTCCACTTCAGCTTTCCCTCTTTTATGATCCCCCTAATGGCATGTATCCAGGCCTCAGGCTTCTAGACTGTCTTTCTTTATTCAGTTGCTGAATCCTGGTGTTTTCTTCCTTTGAAAGATTTTATGGCTTTACTCTCTTTATCATGCTTATAGCTGCAGCCTCCATCTAGACCTTATCTCCTTACACCCAGCCCATTTCAGCTGCCTCTTTTGAGTCCCCTCTGTTCAGAGCCTCTCTCATAGTTTAGTCCATCCTCCACTCAGACATCAGAAAAATGGTCTCAGTCCACCAGATTCATTATGCCATTGCTTCCACCTGCTCCCTCAGAAGACTTCTATAGCTCTTCATTGACTCAGGGTAAGGCCAGACTCCCCAGCTGTGCCAACAATGACCAACTTCTTAACACTCTTACCACCTTCCCACTCTCAAGTCTGGGAAGACATCAATAGGCAATTCCAGCACTCTTTCCCATTGAGCTCAGGCTGGGCATCAGAAACTTTCTCTGGGTGGCACTCCAGGCAGCAAGGTCTGTCAGTTAGGCTACGCATGGAGGACAACACCTGCCTGCTGCCCCAGCTCATGAGGCACTTTGATGGCCAGCCTGTGTATTCCTGGTCTCATGCTTGTCTCCTCTCTGCGTTCTGCCACATTGCTGTCTCTCTTCTTCTGCCTAAGCTCTGTGTGCACCATGGAATGCTTGGTTGTGCCTTGCCTGCCTGCTGGGTACATCAGTCCTGAAGGGCACACATGTGTCGTCCCCTTCCACTGATGACCTACGGCACCCAGCCCTGGAAGCAGATTTCCTTTCAGCTTTGTTGCTTACATGAAGGAAGCAACTTACTTATGGACTTCTCTGCTTCATCCACTCAGAAGGGCCATGATACTCCCCCTAAGGATATGGTGCTATTGGTAGAGTGTAGGGCCTGGATATGAGAGGCTAACTTGCCCAGACAAGCTTTGAAAGGATTCTTGAGTGAGTCACAAGATCACAGATACAGGAACACTAGACCCTGTCTGCTCTCATTTTGGCTCCAACTCTGTGCCTTTAAGCATGCGACTTAACTTCTCTGAATATCAGTTGTCTACAAAGCCTGGAGCAGTAAGTGTGGGCGTGGGACAGTTCCTATCTCCCCCTCTTGTCTCCACAGAGGATCCAAGCTCAGATGTCAGAGCTCAGCTCCCATGCCTGTGTGAGTGGGGCAGGGGGTGGGGTATGGGGACAGGCTTTCTAGAATCACAAGCCTCCATCCTAGATATTGAGTGTCTCCTGCTTTCCCCCATAGCAGCGGGGACACTGCAGCATGGAGCTGAAGAGAGGAAAGACCTTCATCAAATCTAGCCTGCAGATTGACCATGAGAAACCTCCAGACCCAGCAGCGACTGCCCTGACCACAGAGGATGCACTCTCACTGGGAGGGCAGCAGCTGCCCCACAGTGAGAGGGGCCCCCAGGTCAGTCCCAGCACCCAAGGATACAACAGATGCTCCGATCGGGAAGCCCAGCCAGACATCAGTGGAGGGCCTGCAGCTCTCTGTGGGGCCACCTTCAAACTGGCTCGGAAGAGCAAGAATCACGACAGTGTGCCCAGGGCTGACAGGGCAGCCACAGCTACAGGGCAGTTGGTGGGCAGTGCAAGTTTCCCAGGGCCCCCCAGCAGCCAGCGCATGATTGACTACCGCCACTTTGTGCCCCAGATGCCCTTCGTACCAGCTGTGGCCAAGAGCATGCCAAGGAAGAGGATTTCCCTGAAACGACCCAAGAAGTGCTTTCGTAACCTATTCCACATCCGCAGAAACAAGACTGAGAATTTGCCTTCACGGGCAACTGAAGGGCAGGGCTTGTCTTCTCCCAAGGGCCCATCAGAGACTGGAGGGCAGCGAGGCATAGCCTTCCTCCCCTTGGGCGAGGAACTGGGACTGGATGGCCAGTGCCAGGACCTGTCTGACAGTGAGTTCCTGCCCGACTCTTCCTTTGACCTCTGCAGGGCACTGTGTGAGGACGTGGCCTCACTGAAGAGCTTTGACTCACTCACAGGCTGTGGGGAGATCTTTGCAGATGAGAGCTCAGTGCCATCCCTGGAGCTGAACGAGGGCCTGGCAAGCCCTGCCCAGAGATCACAGGCCTCTGACAGCAAGACTCCCAGGGGCCCCTTCCAAGGCAGCATAGAGCAGCTGGCATCGCCTGCCCAGAATGAGATGTCTGACTTTGCCAAGTTCTGGGACCATGTGAATCACTCGGTGAGTCAGCAGCAGCATGCCCTGCTAGGCCCAAGGCTGGGAGGCCCCCAGGCGTCAGACACAGCTCAGCCCAGGCCAGATGCAGCTGGGCTGGCTGAGCTCCCCCTGTGCCCATGCAGAGATCCCCACAGCAGCTCCAAAGCCAGCTCCGTAGACACAGGAACCCCCAAGAGTGAGCGGCCGGAGTCTGTGTCCACGAGCGACGAGGGCTACTATGACTCCTTCTCACCAGGCCTCGAGGAGGATAAGAAGGAGGCCCCGAGCCCAGGCACACCCACAGCCACCTTCCCCCGGGACAGCTACAGTGGAGACGCCCTCTATGAGCTCTTCTATGACCCCGCTGAGGGCCCTGGGAGTCCGAGCCTGGATGATGACTTGTGCGTGTCTGAGAGTCTATCAGGGCCTGCAATGGGAGCCCCCTTGTCCATGTGCAGCTTCCGTGTTGGGGCAGAGGAGAACCTGGCTCCCATTCCAGGCCCAGACCTGCTCAACCAGGGCTTCTTGCAGAGCTCTTGGAGGGGCAGAGAGTGCCTGCTGAAGCTCTGTGACACCGAGTTGGCCATCACCATGGGCATCATCAACTGGCTCCGCCGGGGCCCGGAGCTCCGCGCCTTGCCTGCCTCAGCTCTCAGAGAGCCGACAGCTCCCTCGGGAGGGCTGCTGGAGAAAGCAGGAGCTGGCTCTGAGAAGATGGGCCTAGGTCCAGTGAAACTGGATGGCAGGGGGACCCAGGCTTTAGATGCAGGTAGGACCTGTATGAGCTCTGCACCCAACAGAAAGGAGCTGTGGGCATGTTCAGGTCCCAAGGGCCTGCTTGCTGGAGTGAGCAAGGTCCTAGCCGGGGCCACACAGGAAACCAGGTCTTCATCCTGTGACCCCTCTCTGGAGTGTGTGCAGGTCTCTGGGGAGCAAGGCACACCAGGCCACCCTGAAGGCTCTTTCTCCTCTGTAGGGTCTGAAGCTGCCGTGGAAACCAACACATCCAGGAGAAACAAGGTCCCAAACCCATCTGTCTGGCCTCGCTCCCAGGAGCCCAGGCTGCCTAGGAACCTCGGGTGTTTCCAAGGTCCCTGGAGGCCCGGTCCTGGCGGAAGCACCATGGATTCAAAACTCACCCTGACAGACTGTGTGGCCCAGGTGGAAGCCCTACAGATCAACCCAGACTGCCAGTCCCCTGGGGTTCAGCCCCCAAGACAAAACACAGGTAGTGGGCTCTGTGGGAAGCCTCAGGCTGGGGGCCCTGACATTCTGCAACAGAAACAGCCTAATGGCTTCCCTAACCTGGCTGCCATCTGTAGTCTGCCCTCCCTGGCCAACCCACTCCACCTCCCACAGGACCAGAGATGCCCAGGCAGCATTCTGGACCTGAGTCAGCTCAGGGAGGAGCCCGCCACGCTGAATGTCCAGGCCCATGTCTCTGTGGAGGGCCGGCCCCTGCAGTTCAACTCAAGGGCTATGGAGCAGGCTGCACAGAGGGGCCAGCTGGACTTGTAGCATGCCTCTGCCTGGGATCACTTGCCAGGAATCTGGGCCTCACTTCCAACAGCTAGTGAGAGGGGCCTCCCCTCTGCAAGTGCCCAGAAACCCACTGCAGCTTTTTGGATCACAAGGGATCCTCTTCAACCAGCAGGAAGTAGGGGCTACCAGGACAGCACGACTGAGCCCCAGCTTTGGAACAGTTTTGCATCCTTGGGACCACATTCAGTAGAGTCTAAGACCTAAATCTCCATCCTTTGTTCCTGATGTGAGGACTGGAGGACTGTACTGGGGGGAAGGGAGTGTTAGTATTCAGTCAGGCAGAGTGGGGCATTTTAACATGGAGGCATCCATGCCTAAACCCAACAGCTCTGCCAGGAGAGGTCCTGGGAAGCCCAAGGCCAAGGCCAACTGCAAAGCTGCCAGTGCTCTCAAGATGTTCCTCACTGATTTCCTCACACACACACACACACACACAAATGAACAGTGTAAACCCAGGTGGCTAAACATACCCTTGGCCACTTACCATACAGTATGTTGGAGAGAGGAACTCGGGCTTGAAACTTTCGGGGATGGAAACAGTACATGTTGTAAAGGGCGCATATTGTGCGGATAAGTCTGAACAAGAATTGAGAGTAATAAATGTGAGTGAGGAATCTGAGACTTGGGTAGAAGCTTGAGCCTGGGGGTTAGCTCAGAAGCGTCTACTTGCCCCATCTCCAGAATGAGCAGCCATAACCTCTGGCTGAAGGGCCCTGAAGGGCTGCTCTAAGGGAATCAGAAGCGGGACCAGCCGTCTTAGCAAGAGCCTTGAACCAGCAGATGCCATGCATTCCTGTGCAACCTTGCCAGGGCTGGCCAGACCCTGGAGACACTGAACAACGGGTGTTCCCTGTCACAGAACATCCCATACAAACAATGCTTTCCCCCAGTTTGCACTGTCTAACTGATCTGTGGGTGGCGAGATGCTCTTGGGGAAGAAGCTGTCTGATTCTCCACACTGCCATTTTCACACTCCATTCTGCCAGCATCCTAGCCTCCTCTTACAGGAAGGCTCAATTTTGAATGAAGCTGTATCCCCCAACCCCTCAAAAAAAAAAAAAATCACAACATTTGCACAGCACCAAACATTCAGAATCACAAAAGGAAAGGTGGCTTGTATATCAGGAAGGGCAGGTGTCGGTCTGGCCAGCCTCAGGGCAGCAGACCAACAGCAAGCTCCTTGACAGGGTCCTCTCTGATTAGATCCTGCCTCAGGTGCCCTGTTTCATTGAGGTGCCAGGCCGGGAGAGGGAGCAGTATGCTACAGGCAGCTATGAAACTGTTTCTTGAAGAGATGCCATGGGCCCAGTGATGAGGGAGGAATTCCAGACAGAGGGACGAATTCCAGACAGAGGGACGCAGTCTTACCACAGCCTGGGGCCAGTCTCGATTGTCCGAGGCTTTGTTTTCAGGCTGGAACAAGCTCCACAGCTCTCATTAACTGTTACCTGTGGCCTGCTATGGGAGGATGAGGACAGAAAATGGGAGGCTCAAAGGGGCATGACAAGGCTCCTGACCAGGCCCATTGAGACAGGATATATGGAAGGCTAGGGCCAGACTTCCTGGGAAGCCACACTTGACCCTTCCTCCTAGGACGGTCAGTGACAGTTTTGGGGCCTTGACATGAGCATCAGCTGCTTTCCTGGCTTCTGACATGGAAACCAAGGCCATGGTGTGGATGTGACTTACCCACATCATACTCAGCCAGCATGTGGGGCCTAGCTCTTGGCCAACGCCACTGTGAACACCCCTCTCAAGGCCCCCTCTCCTTCCTTCTTTCAGGATACAGGCGTCTGGGGCCTCTGGGTGCCAGGAGTGCACCTCCCTGTTACTCCGTACTGCACCTAGCAGAGCGAGTGCCCAGTGAATACTGTTGCAAGAATGAAATATCAAAACGTTGTGCATGGTTTTCTGATTTCTTGCTGCCTGTGGGCCTGGGGTCTAGAGAGCAACAGAGTTGAGTTTAACTTAGTTGAACTTCTGACAAAGACTTCTTTGATATGACACAGTGATTCATAGAGATGTGGAAGAACCAGCCCAGCCCAGAAGTACTGGGAAGGGTATGAACCAAGGTGGTCCCAGGACTCAGAGGCCATGGCAAAGAGTGACCCAACATGCAAGGAAGCAGATATAAAGACCTGTGCCGTGCCTACCTGCCCAGTGGCCCTCAATCTGTGGAGGATCTTAAGCAATGCTGGCACCGCAGAGATTATCATTCAGCAATCTGAGTAGCTGACCCAGCAGTGGTCTGCGAGACATCTTGCTGGGAGAGTGAAGGAGCCATGTGATCTTTTTGTGTTCTGTGAGTCAAGGTTCCCTCAACCCATCTCTCTGTCTGTAACCCACTCTTCAGGCTGCCCTTCCCAGCAAGAGGAATCCAGGCAATGCCAGCCTGATTGGGCTCCGCAGGCCTCAGGCGTGTCCTTGAGGTGACCCACTGCTAGGAAGAGAGGAACTTTGGGAGTCAGCTCCTGGGACAGGTGTCTAACCCAGGGATGAGTGTGGAAGAGCTCTGCACAGGGCATTTTCAGAACTCTGGTCAATTTCCAGTCCTTCTGTTCACACATGGCTGTAGAAGTTATAGAAAGTTTTTCCCATGTAAAGTCAAGTCCTGAGGAGAAAGTCCAGCTGTCCCCAGCTCTCAGCTGTCTCAGGGTCACATGGTGGTGGGGGCGCTGGGCTTCACCCTGGTGCCTGTGCACTGTGGTTCTGCCCTTCCAACCTGCTGAGGTTGAGTTTGGAAATGGTAGGTGTTGGAAGGGGTCCAGGCAGCCTTGCAGCTGAGCCTGACAATAGGGTGGCTGGGTGGACCATGAGAATGGGGAAGTGAGAAGAAGGTGCTGGAAAGGAAAGGGAGGTGAAGTCCAGCACAGGTTGGGGAAGACCCTGTAAACTACATTGGGGGTACTTCTTATGTTTTCTGGCTCTTCATTTTATTTATTTCCTTACTTGCCTATTTATTTTTATGATGTGAGGACTAATACACCAAATACAGAACAGTGAAAACTAAGTTTCCTCTAATTCCTCTCTTACCCCTGTTGTTTTGATTCAAAATCAATTTCTATTCACTACAAGCAATCCAAACAATGCCAAGTACAGAGCCTCAGCTTCCCTGTCCTTCTTGAAATTGCATGTGTCCTCAGACCCTTTCTGTGCCCATGACATAAATACACATGACTTGGACCTTTTTTTTTTTTTTTTTTTACTGAACACTGTATCATAGACATCTTCCTTGGACTTAGCATGCATCAGCAGATGCAAGTTCTCCACTCTCTTGAACAGCTTGCACAGCAGTCTCCTGTAGGTGGCAAGTAATTTAGACACTCTGCTGTTGATGGATATTCAAGTTAATTTCCCATTTTAGCTGTTACGAACAATACTGCACTTCTTTTTTGCCTAAATCTTCTCTCTGAAAGTCCTCTTCAAAACTATGAAAGTGAAACTTAACAAGGAAAAGATGCAGTTTTTAAAATGACCAGTGAATCCTGTTTCCATATCCCCACCCCAGTGCCAAAGTATCTTAAGGTCCTGGTGTTGTTAATGGCCTGAGCTTCATGCTCATACAAACACACTACATGCTTTCATCTTTGGAAGGGGAGAGGTTGATTCTTTTGTTATTATGTGTAAGGCCTTGGAATTTGTCATTCTCCTCCTTACAAGAAAAAGGTGGACAAACTGAAAATCCATGATTTTCTTGACCTGTCAGAGAATGAGTCACAGAGCAAATAATTTCTCTGAAGCCTGGAGACACAGGTGCATCCAGAGAATGAGGCAACTGAGACCTGGAGCAGAAGCTTCAAGATTATGAAGAACTGGTAGGAGCATTTAGGGAGTAATTTTGACAAATGCTATGGCTGAGTAGGAAGGTATAAGGGGCTTGGCAGTAAATGGGGTGCCCATACATTCACGGCTTTCTTCCAGAAATCATTCTATATTTTCAGGGTGAGGACAAACGTCCCCTCATGGGCCTGGCAAAGAGAGAATAGCCTTTGTGAAACCCTCCATATCCTTCTCCCTAATAGGACTATGTAAAGGGGAGAGACTTCCTAGGGGGGATATTTTGAAGCCTTTTCCAAGCTGAAAGAAGGGAATTATACCCAATCCCAGATGTTTCCAGCCTTTCTGTCTCACTTAAGAAAAGCATAGACAGATAAAAAGACAGAAAGAAAGGGATAGTTAACCAGAAGAGGATTCAAAAATAAAAACTGGAAATGGTGAGCCAGAAGGAACTAGGGTTTCATAAGGCTATACCCCACCATGGCATCACAGGTCTACAAAAGACTGAGACTGATTACGAGCTTAGAAGATAAGGGCACATTCTCCTGCTTCCAACTAAACCTGTCTCCACACTAAAAAGCCTTCAGTAATAAGGGCTGTGGATTAAAACTTAAAGAGCTATAAGACAAAGACTCTCACTAAAGATCAGAGCAAAGGGAAGCCACAGAGAAATGAAAGGAAGGAAAAATGAGCCCATTACAGTAATACAAAGCCTCTGGTGCTTATATAAGAAATAAGAAAATAGTCTACCTCTTAGCCAGATTAACATAAACCCTCACACCAAAAACCTGTTTACTTCAGTACCTGTTACCCTATACAGTCTCTGACTTTCAGCAGGAAACTATTTGCTAAAGGCAAAAGGAAAGAATGTCTGAGGAACAAAGATATTGCCAGAACTAGTCACAGGTGTTGGAATTACCACATTAAAGATTATAAAATGAATGATTAATATGCTAAGAATTCTAATGAAAAAAGTAGACAAAATGAAAGAACAGGTGGTGATACAGCTGACAGGAAAAATTCCAAGAAAGAAATCAAAAGAAAATGTTAGACGTCAGAAACACTGTACATTAAATGAAAAATCCCATAAATGAGCTCATCAGTAGACTCACCAGAGGTTAGTAAAGAATCTGAGTTTCTGATCTTCCCTGGGGGTCCAGCAGTTAAGAATCCACCTGCTGATGCAGGGGACATGGGTT